ATGGTCATATTGACAATATTAATTCTCCCTATATAAGAGCAGAGTAGATCTTTCCATTTTCTAGGGTCTTCTTTGATTTCTTTCTTTAGCATTCTGTAGTTCTCACTGTAGAGATCTTTCACTTCTTGCATTGATTCTCAAGTCTTGTCTTTTCTTTCTTTCTTTGTATTTTTGAGACTATTATAAATGGGGCAGTTTTCCTCATTTCCCTTTCAGAGGATTTGTCACTGATATACAGAAATGACTTTGATTTATGAGTGTTGATTTTATATTTGGCTACTTTGCTGAATTGATTTACTAGTTCTAGAAGTTTTCTGGTGGAATTTTTTTGGGGTCTTCTAGTTATAGAATCATATCCTCAGCAAATAGTGCTAATTTGAGTTCTTCTTTTCCTATCCATATCCCTTTAATTTCCTTCTTTTGTCTAATTGCTCTGGCTAGTGTTTCAAGAACTATGTTAAATAGTGGTGAAAAAGGGCAGCCCTGTCTTTTTCTAATTTTTAGAGAGAATGCTTTCAATTTTTCTCCATTTGGAATGATGTTGGCCTGGGGCTTAGCATACATAGCTTTTGTAAAGTTGAGATATGTTCCTGTTATTCCTAGTTTTTCTAGTGTTTTGAACATGTATGGGTGCTGTATTTTGTCGATTTTTTTTTTGCATCAATTGAGATGATATGATTCTTATCTTTAAGTCTATTGATGTGGTGAATTATGTTTATAAATTTCTGTATGTTGAACCAACCTTTCATCCCTGGGATGAACCTCACTTGATTGTGATGCACTATATTTTTGACATGTTTTTTATTCAATTTGCCAGAATTTTATTGATAATTTTTGCATCTATGTTCATCAAAGATATTGGTCTAAAGTTTTCTTTCTTTGATGTGCCTTTGCCTGGTTTTAGAATCAGGGTGGTACTGGCCTCATAGAATGAGTTTGGCAGTGTTCCCTCTTTTTCTATTTCAGAAAATAATTTGTAGAATATAGGTATTAGTTTTTTATATAGGTCTTGTAGAACTCAGCTGTGTATCCATCTGGTCCTGGGCTTTTCTTGGTTGGTTGGCTTCTGATGGCATCTTCTATTTCCTTGCTTAAAATTGTTCTGTTTAAATTGTGTATATCATCCTGATTCAGTTTGGGCAACTCATATGCCTCTAGAAATTTGTTGATGCCTTTAATATTTTCTATAATATCAGAGTACAAGTTTTCAAAATAATTTGTTATTATCTTCTGTGTTTCTGTAGTGTCTATTGTGATATTTCCTTTTTCATCACATATATTAATCATTTTAGTTTTCTCTCTCCTTCTCTTTGTTAGCATAGCTAAGGGTTTGTCAATTTTATTTATTTTTTAAAGAACCAACTTTTGTTTTGTCATTTTTTTCAGTTATTTCTTTTGATTCAATTTCATTGACTTCAGCTCTGATTTTAATTATTTCCTGTCTTCTACTGCTTTTGGTGTTGGTTTGTTCTTCTTTTTCTAGGCTTTGAGATGTAATGTTAGGTGATTTATTTATTGACTTTTTCTTCTTTTAAGAAATGAATTCCATGCAATGAACTTTCTCCTAGTATTGCCTTCATAGTTTCCCAGAGATTTTAATATTTTGTATCAGTGTTCTCATTTACCTCTAAGAATTTTTTAAATCTTCTCCTTGATGTCTTTTGCAACCGCTTATTTATTAAGTAGCATATTACTTAGTCTCCAGGTGTTGGAGTATTTTTAATGTTTTATCTCATCATTGATTTCTAATTTTATTTCATTATGATCTGATAGAATGCAGGGTAGTATGTCTTCATTTTGGTATTTGCTAAGAGTTGCTGTGTGGCATAATATATGGTCTATTTTAGAGAAGGATCCATGTGCTGTTGAGAAGAAAGTGTATTAGATTGTCAAAGGATGAAATATTCTATATATGACAGTTAAGTCTAAGTTATTGATTTTATTATTGAGTTCTATAGTTTCTTTGTTCAGCTTTTGTTTGAAAGATCTATCCTGTGGTGAAAGAGATGTGTTAAAGTCCCCCCAAATTATTATGTTGTGGTCTATTTGACTTTTGAACTTGAGAATAGTTTGTTTGATAAACATAGATGCTTCATTGTGCATGGCATATATATTTATAATTGTTATGTCTTATTGGTGTATGGTTCCCTCGAGCAGTATGAAATAACCTTCTATATCCCTTTTGATTAACTTTAGCTTGAAATCTACTTTATTTGATATGAAGATGAAAACCCTTGGTTGCTTCCAAAGTCCATGTGAGTGGTATGATTTTTCCCAATCTTTCACCTTCAGTCTGTGTATAACTTTTCCTATGAGATGAGTCTCTTGGAAGCAGTATATTTTTTAAAATCTAATCTGCTAGTCTATGTCTTGATTGGTGAGTTTAGGCCATTAACATTTAGGGTTATTATTGAGACGTGATTTGTATTCCCAGCCATTTTTGTTTATTTTTGGTATTTAACTTGACTTGGTTTCTCCTTTGATTAGTTTTTCCTTTAGGATAATAACTCCCTCTGCTGATTTTTATCATTGTTTTTCATTTCCTCTTCTTAGAATATTTTGCTGAGTATGTTCTATAGTGCAGGCTTTCTTTTAACTTTTATTTATCATGAAAGTTTTTTATTTTATTATCAAATCTAAAGCTAATTTTGCTAGATATAAGATTCTTGGTTGGGCTGGGGATGTGGCTCAAGTGGTAACATGCTCACCTGGCATGCATGGGGTGCTGAGTTCGATCCTCAGCACCACATAAAAATAAAATAAAAATGTTGTGTCCACCGAAAACTGAAAAATAAATATTAAAAATTCTCTCTCTCTTTAAAAAAAAAGATTCTTAGTTGACATCCATTTTCTTTCAGAGCTTGATATATGTTGTTTCAGGATCTTCTTGCTTTCAGGGTCTGGGTTGAAAGATCTGCACATAACCTAAGTGGCTTTCCCCATATGTAATCTGATTCCTTTCTCTTGTGGCTCCTTATTCTGTATGCTAGGCATTTTTATTATAACGTGGCATAGTGTAGATCTGTTGTAAGTTTGTACATTTGGCATGAGGTAATCCTCTTGTATTTGGTTTTCCAATTCATTCTTTATATTTGGGAAATTTTCTAATATTATTTCATTGTTCATTCCTTTGGTTTGGAAATCTATGACTATCTATCCCAATAACTCTTAAATTTGATCTTGTTATGCTATCCCATATTTCTTAAATGTTCTGCTCATGGTTTCTTACTATCTTCATTGTGTGGTCTACACTATTATTATCAAAATTATCTTTTGCTGCCTGTATTTGCTCTCTGATATCTTCCTTTAATTCACAGAATATTTTAATTATGTACATGCTGAACTCCTTCTCTGTAATTTCTCCTGCTGTGCTGGCCATGGATTCTAATAATGTAGTATCTTGATTTGTTTGGGGCATGTTCTTCCCTTGTATTTTCATTATTTTTTGTGTGTCAGTATCTTTCCTGCTTCCCTTCTCATCCAATAGGTGGGGTTGTCTGTTCTTATCTAGTATCTACACCCTCAGAATGGTGGAGGTTACCAGTTTGTGAGGGTTGGTCTTGGGAGCAGGGCACCTGGAGGTGGAGTATGGCACCTGTGGGTCCTGATGGAAGACTGCACCTCAAGGATCTCCTTTGTGTTCCGCTTCTGTGATATGCGTGCTGGGACTTATCTCCTCATTTCGCCTGTAGACCTCATAGTTCCTGCCCTCTAAATTAGTCTCTAAAGTGTATCTCCTGCACCCTCTCCCTTTCTACTTCCTAACCAGGAGCCTTTCTCTTTGGAGGTCTGGTGGCTGCACATCTGTTGTAGAAGGCTGTTTTGTATTGAGCAGTCACTATGCTGGGTTAGCAGTTCCTGGGGATTGGGAGGAATTTGAAACTATGGGTACCTCAATATCAAGTGTTCCAAACTGGTAGTTGCCCCAACTAAAGATGGTGATAGAGGTGACCCAAGATGGAGATGGCTGCTTTCAGCGATAGGATGTTGGGTTGAGTGGGGGAAGCCGGGTGATGGCATTGTGCAACGTATTCAGAGATTAGCTCTGTGCTGTGCAGTGTTGGAGCTGTCAGCTGTCTTCAGAGCGTGTGCAATGTCCCCAGGCACAGGTAGGCTACTGTATGCATAGGGGACTATGGCATAGCTGCTTAGTCCCAAGATGAAGGCAACCAAGGGAGCCCCATGTTGGTAGATGGGGGTCCACTCAGAAGTGGTGGCAGGAGTTCCTGAACCTGTGTAGGGCTGAGTGTTCTGTATGGGAGGGGCATCTGGAAATTCTGCTTCGGTGCTAATGTCAGTGGTTCTGCTAAGGTACCCATGAGACCTTTGTGGGCAAGTAGTTGGGAGTCTGGAGTCCTGCTCTAATGCTGAGGCCTGGTGTGCTGTGCAGGCATGGCTACCATGATTCCTGCATGGGAGCAGCTGTGGAGGGGTCCTCTATCACTCCCAGAGAAGCAGTATTCCCACTAGTTGAGACCCGGGTCATGGAGCAACACAGAATGCTGCCTCTCTCTGGCTCACCATCTTGGATCTCCACTTCAATTTCTTCTTGTAGCCTTTTTTCTTTCAGAAAAATTATTTTACAGACAACTCATATTGCTCCTAATTGTCTTAAAAGTTTTCAGTATATAATTTTTGCCTGATAATCTAAGTTTAAGGTTTTTCACAGGCTTCAAGTCATTACATAGTCCTGGACTGGGAAAGGTCTTTTCTGTTGACCTCGCACCATATATCAGACTCAGGATTTTTCTAGCACAGTCCAGTGTCCACATAAATTCAGCACATGCTTAGAATGTCTTTCTTATTTCCTAGACCTGTTAATTTCTGAATATTCCATGAATCAAGATCATTGTATTTTGCCATTTCTTCAATTATCTCCAATTTTTAAAAATCATAACATAATAAACAAATGTAAAGGAAATCTTCCAAGTGTATGTTTCATTTCAACTCTATCTAATATTTTCACTTTGTCAACAGTTAAGGTATGTTTGTTTTACATTCATTTCATTTCATTTCAGGTAACAACAAGTGAGGACATGGAAAAGGAAAATGTAACCTTGTTGACAGAGTTTGTTCTCACAGGACTTACAAACCAACCACAGTGGAGACTCCCCTTCTTCTTGGTGTTCTTGGTGATCTACCTCATCACTATGATGGGTAACCTTGGCCTGATTGCCCTCATCTGCAGGGATCCTAACCTTCATATACCCATGTACTTTTTCCTTGGGAATTTAGCCTTTCTGGATGCTTGGATAACATCAACAGTGACCCCAAATATGCTGGTCAATTTGTTAATCAAGATCAAGATGATCTCTCTCACTGAATGGAAGATACAATTTTTTTCCTTTGGAGTCAGTGTAACCACAGAATGTTTTCTCTTGGCAGCAATGGCTTATGATCGCTATGTAGCCATCTGCCACCCTTTACATTATCCAGTGATTATGACCAATAGATTATGCATCTGGCTAATAGTTTTATCATTTGTAGGTGGCTTTCTTCATGCCTTAATTCATGAAAGCTTTCTATTCAGATTAACCTTCTGTAAATCCAACATAATACATCACTTTTACTGTGACATTGTAGCATTGTTAAAGATTTCCTGTACTAATCCTTCTATTAATTATCTATTAATTTTTATTTTCTCTGGTTCAATTCAGATATTCAGCATTATGACAATATTTGTTTCTTATACATTTGTTCTCTATACAATTTTTAAAAAGAAGTCTGAAAAGGGCCTTAGAAAAGCATTTTCCACCTGTGGAGCTCATCTCTTTACTGTGTCTTTATACTATGGCCCCCTTCTCTTCATGTATGTGCATCCTGCATCTTCACAAGCAAATGATCAAGATATGATCTTCTCTCTATTTTACATGGTTATAATTCCTGTGTTAAATCCCATTATTTACAGCTTGAGAAACAAGAAAGTCATAGATTCATTGATAAAAACGTTGAAAAGAAATGTTTAGTTCTCATCATAGAGTGCACTTTCTTGTTACCAAAACAACTCACAAAAGTTCTATTTGGAAGTGTGTGGGGTTTTTTGTTTGTTTGTTTGTTTGTTTTTGTGCATGTTGATTTTTTTTAACAACTTAGTCATTAGTATCTGGCAAACTCTTTGAAATACTTGTATGTCATTCAATATCATAATAAAATGTAGATGAGTGTTCAAAGCATACTATGATATTTAAAGAGAAAACAAATAAAAATATTTTAATATTTGCATGTCCTTAAATGAGGATTCATAAATAGGCTAAGTGCTACATTCATGTAGATACTCTGAAAAGAACTTGAGTATATCTTTGACACAAATACAGGTGTATAATCTGGAGACACAGATCATAGTTGTTCCAGAGTGGTTTTCAGGCTTGTTTTTAGTTGAACATAGGCAAGACTCATGAATTCAGTTGCTGCTTATGTTTGAGTCATTTTAAAATTTTATTTATTTTTTTGTCACTGAGTAATTTTTCCTTGTATTGGGGTAGACTGCCAATTATATGGAATTTTACTATTTTTCCCATTCTTATGACCCAGAGATTATATTAGTAGTGTAAGACAATGGTTTTTATTTCTTCTACATTTTTAAAGAGCTCTTTTTCTAATTGAGCTTTTCTTGAACAAGAAGGTACTCATCAAACTATGAGTACATAGGCAGGATATACAACCCATCAAGGTTCAATTTTGTCTGGGTAAGTATGGAACAGGCATTTGGGGTGCCTCCCAGTAAGTCTGAATTCCTCTGCTCCTTCTCCTATATATTCTTGGTCTATGAATTAATCTACTCTGTTTTATTCTTCAGAATAAACACAACATTTTAAACTTTATTGAAACTTACTAAAATGTCAACACAAGTTTGATCCCACTCTCACTTCTGTTATACATTCATTCCTATACATATTTATATCCATATTTTTTATTGTTCTAGATATTAAGAAAGAGATAGAATATATAGTTTGCCAAGACCACATTTTGAGCATAATATTACTATATCTTTTAAAGATAACTATAAAATACAGATTCATTGTGAGAGAGCTATTTCATTAACATAGACCAAATATGTTTATGTCTTTAGACAAAGTTAGAACTTATTGAATAACAATAAATTTATAAGCAAGACAACTTTCAGCGGTGACATTTCATTGAATACTCATGTATCTCTAAATGGTTGTAAGATGGACAATCATAGATTCTTTTGTTCTAATCTTAACTATTATTATCTATAGCACTCAAATTATGCAACACGCACACACACACAGTAAGACTAAAAAAGTGTTAAGGAAATCATAGGTCCTCAGGAGGATGAACTGAGAGCATAGGCAGAGAGCAAATGCAAAGTAAAACTACCACTGTGGGTGGTCAGGCAAAATTTAAGAACTGCCTAATAACTTGTTTGAAGCTCAGAACTCTCAAAGCACAAGAACTAATTATAGGCCAGGGTCCAGAAGGATGGCAGTTTCAGAGTGTCAGGTGAGATGTCAGTTTGAAGTGGGCCTGTGTAGTAATTATGGGTAGGAGAAATCATAATGAATTGAAACATTCATGAGGACAGAGGATCTGAGCTTCATCACTGTGGTTACTTTTTTGGGCAAGGTTCCTAATAAGTGACCAGGAGACAGGGTCAGTATTCTGCCCTGTCAAGCCTTGAAGCACTTCTCTTTTTATGGGCCTTTGGTATGGAGTTTGATTCACTTAGTGGTCTGATATGTTCAATAAGCACATAGCCATGTTTTTCCTGAGATGAATTTGATGTGCCTATGTATCTGTGTACTTCTGATTTGATTTGATAGGTTCATTGGTGGTAACTTTTATTGGCATGATTAATTTATTTATCAGTTTGATCTTATGGCTGTGCTAAGAAGATTGAAGCTATTTACTTGTACAAACAAGATATTGAGTCATTCAACCTTAACACTTATACTCAAAATTTGGTCACTCATGGCAAACTACTGCTTTATAAAATAGAGTACCTGAGGCCCCAGAGAGATCTGACCCACCTCATGGAGAGGAATACCACACCTGCATGGAGGGGAACACCTTTCACCAATGTAATCCCATTGTCATTCATTATAAATATAGAAAAAGCAATCTTGAAGTTCATTTGGAAAAATAAGAAACACAGAATAGACAAAGAAATCCTTATCAAGAAGAGTGAAGCAGGTGGCATCACTATACCAGAACTGAAACTATACTACAAAGCCATAGGAACACAAACAACATGGTATTGGCACAAGAAAAGACCAATAGTACAGAATAGAAGACACAGAGACAATCCCACATAAATACAGTTATCTCATACTATACAAATGTATCCAAAACATACATTGAAGAAAAGACAGTCTTGTCAACAAATGGTACTATGAAAACTGGAAATCCATATGCAGCAAAATGAAACTAAACCCCTACCTCTCCCCATGCGCAAAACTCAACCTTGGAATTAGACCAGAGTCTCTAGACCTAATAGAAGAAAAAGTAGGCCCAAATCTTCATCATGTTGGATGAGGCCTTGACTTCCTTAACAAGTCTTCTAAAGTGCAAGAAATAAAATAAAACATTAACAAACAGGATGGATTCAAACTAAAAAGCTTCTTCCCAGCAAAAGAAACAATCAATGAGATGAAGAGAGAGCCCACATTTTGGAACAAAATTTTTGCCACACACATGTCAGATGGAGCAAAAATCTCTAGGATAGATAAAGAACTCAAAAATCTTAACACTAAGAAGACAAATGATCCAATAAATAAATGGGCTAAGGAGCTGAACAGACACTTCTCAGAAGAAGAAATACAATCAATCAACAAATACATGAAAAAATGTTCAACATCTCTAGTAATTAGAGCAATGCAAATTTCATCTCACACCAGTCAGAATGGCAGTTATCAAGAATACAAACAACAATAGGTGTTGGCGAGGATGTCAGGGTAAATGCACACTCATACATTGCTAGTGGGACTGCAAATTGGTGCAACCAATCTGGAAAGCAGTATGAAGATTCCTTAGAAAACTTGGAATGAAACTGTCATTTGACCTAGCTATCCCACTCCTTGGTCTATCCCCAATAGGCTTAAAAACAGAGTACTACAGTTACATAGCTACTTCAATGTTTATAGCATCACAATTCACAATTACTAAACTGTGGAAGCAACCTAGATGCCCTTCAATATATGAGTGGATAAAGAAACTATAGTATATATACACAATGAAATATTACTCATCATTAAAAGATAATAAAATTATGGCATTTGCAGGTAAATTGATGGAGTTGGAGAAATTATGCTAAGCAAAATAAACTAATCTCAAAAAAATAGGGGCTGAATGTTTTCTCTGGGAAGTGAATGCTTATCCATATGGGGGAAGGAGAATAGGGTAAGTGGAGAAATTCTGGATGGGGCAAAAGAGGAGTGAGGGTGGGAGCAAATGGGTAGGAAAGATGGTGGAATGAGACATACATCATTTACCTATGTACAAGTATGACTGCACAAATGGTGTGACTATTCTTCATGCACAATCAGAGAAGTGAAAAATTGTGCTCCATTTGTGTACAATGAATTGAAGAGCTTTCTACTGTCATGTATAACTGATTAGAACTAATAAATACATAAAAGAAAATAAATAAATAGATAGATAAATAGAGTGAGAGTTAGGCAAAGCCTGAAAACCATTGTTCCATATATAATGAGTACCTCAGAACAGAGCACAGCCTTCTCTTCACAGCCACCACTGTTAATACTGGAGAACAAAAAAAATATCCCTGAGAACACATATCTTATTTCAAAGAACATGGTTTAACTATGTCTATGCCTTAAGAAATGTGGAAGGTCAAATTTAATAATTAGGCCTAGTTATCTGGTGAAGGAAATTTCTGAGCAAAATACAGGAGTGCCTATCAGAATGTTCTTGGCTGCTTTCATCCCAATTTGAAGGAAACAGAAGCAGAATGAATACACTGGAAAAATTCTCATGCTGTCCATGGAAAGAGTGAAGAAAGAACTTGTAAGTGTAAAGTCAGTGACTGCATGCTAAAGAGCCCATAACAGATAAAAAGAGCTCATTTGCTTTGCATTGGGTCAATTGAAAAGATGCCTCTAGTACATCTCAAATGTCTAAGGGTCTCGTCTTCAATCACAGTTCAGAAGTCTTCCAAAGCAGAATGTTTTGGGGAAAGAGTCCTGGGATACTCTGAGTGATTCTGTTTCCCAGGACAACTTTTGGATTCTGGTTTTCCAATTAAACACTACACAGCCATGACAAATATGATTCAAACAGACCAAAGTATTGCTCACATCAGTGGCAGGCCTTTGTCACATCCATGTGGAGCTCATTGTTCAGGTATGCAGAATATCAGAGATATTGGGAGATGGTGGATTATACCAAGATTTCAGATGAAAATATAGGAGATTATGCAGCAACTTTCTACAGAGTTGAAGTCCCAACAGAGGGCTTCGGATGGGTTGATGTCTGAATTGTGGAATAGGAACTATGGTGGTAATTCAGAAAGGTAGAGCCCTCAGGATTGTGTCAAACTAGTCTGTTGCAAACACCAGATACAGAATAGCCATGGGTCAGAAGACCAGCAAAGCCATAGGGATGGGCTCCCCATCACTTATTTCAGTGTTCATACCATATTTGGAGCTTGATGATATAATGTTTGTTCTGTTTGTTTTCAGTGCAGCTTAGATGATTCTTCATCTCTACTTGCTTTATTTCTCTCTGTTGGAAAAGGGGTGTTTGCTTTAACTCAGTTTCCTTTGTATCATATTATTGTACAACTTATTGATTTTACAGGGGCTCTCAGCAGACGGGAATTTACCTTGAGGGTCATCTGAGTTTGGACATGGACTATTGAATGATGATAAAATGATTTATTACTTAGGAATAATTAGAGGTAGAATAAATTTGTTTTTACTTTTAAGAAAGATCTGAACCATGTGGTGAGGGGCATAAGGCTATGGTAGAGATAAATAGGTTGCTT